ATACACAGGCGGGAGCCATAACAGAGTCTCCATCAACCTCGCTAACACCATTCTTCTCAACCTGGTGATTCCCTGGGACCCCATTCCACTCAACTTGCATGCTCGCCCAAGCCACTTCCAGTGGGTTTTCCATATAAACGACCTGTCTTGACTCATACTACAGACTTTCCTAAAATCTCTTAAAGATTCACAAATCCCAAACAAGCAGCATCTGCTCTCAGCATGCCCTGTTCCTCTTGCTAAGTAGCCTGAAGCCTGGTACTATCAACAGCCAGCCTCAGTTTGCAGCTTAGCCTCTCCCAGGCACCTTCCATGCTAAAAGCAGCAACCATCTGCAGATCACTTTGTAACTCACACCACGTAGGCCTGGGCACGTGGTGTGAGTTACAAAGTGATCTGCAGATGGTTGCAGGCAGTGGCTGTCTCTGACCTGCACCAGAGTCCCTGCCAAGAGGCTCCCAGAACCAACTCACTCAGTGGCCAACTTCAGACCACACCAAAACACTACCCAACCACCTCCACAAATGACACAAGCAAAAGGCAGACTCAGCAGGTACCAGAGCCCTGCTAAAGCAAATCCTGCTCTGTAGGGTCAGCCCCTGCACAACAGCTCCTCCACCATACTCATGGCCAGTCTTCATAATCAATCAGCCTGAGGGTCAGTCCCTCTCACTGATATGCCAACAGCAATCAAGGCTCAACTACAATAGGGAGGTACACAACAACCCACACAAGGAACACACTTGGAGCACTAGGCTCAGGTGACCAGGGAGACTGCACCACTGAGCCTCACAGGACAATTACCACATAAGGACACTCTACCAAAACCAGGAAATATAACAGCTCTACTTAATACATAGAAACAAAAATAGGGAGGCAGCCAAAATGGGGAGACAAAGAAACATGTCCCAAATGAAAGAACAGAACAAAACTCCAGAAAAAGAACTAAACAAAATGGAGATAAGCAATCTACAAGATGCAGAATTCAAAACACTGGTTATAAGGATGCCCAATGATCTCAGTGAGAGCTTCAACAGAGATAGGAAACAAAAATGGAGATAGAAATCATAAAAAGAACTAGTCAGAAATAAAGAATATAAAAACTGAAATGAAGAATACATTAGAGGGAATCGACAGTAGATTAGATGAAGCAGAAATTCGAATCAGTGATTGGAAGGTAAGGTGGCAGAAAATGCCAATCAGAACAGCAAAAAGAAAAAAGAAGTCAAAAAAATGAGGATCATTTAAGGGGGTCTCTGAAACAGCATCAAGTATACCAACATTCACAGGCATATCAGAAGAAGAAGAGAGTGAGCAAAGAATTGAAAAACTATTTGAAAAAATAATGACTGAAAAATTCCCTAACCTGGCAAAGGAAATAGACATACAACCACAGGGAGCGCAGAGTCCCAAATAAGGTGAACCCAAAGAGGCCCACACCAAGACACATCATAATTAAAATGCCAAAGGTTAAAAACAAAGACAGAACCTTGAAAGCAGCGAGGAAAAAACCAATTAGTTACCTACAAGGGAGCTCCCATTAGACTGTCAGCTGATTTCTCAACAGAAAATTTTCAAGGCAGAGGGAGTGGCGCAAAATACTAAAAGTGATGGAAAGTAAGGACCTACAAGTATTACTCTACCCAGTAAAACTATCATTTAAGATCAAAGGACAGTTAAAGAGCTTCCCAGACAAGAAAAAACTAAAGGAGTTCATTACCATCAAACCAGTATTACAAGAAATGTGAGAGGAACTTATTTAAGTAAAAGAAGAAAAAAAAGATAAAAATAAAATGGCAATAACTACACATTTATCAACAATTACTTTAAATGTATATAGATCAAATGCTCCAATCACAAGACATAGGGTGACTGAATGGATAGGAAAACAAGACGTTTACATATGCTGCCTACAAGAGACTCACTTCAGATTGAAAGATGCACACAGACTGAAAGTAAAGGGATGAAAAAAGATATTTCATAAAAATGGAAACAAAAAAAAGTTAGGGTAGCAATACTTATACCAGACAAAATATACTTTAAACAAAGGCTAGAACAAGAGACATAGAAGAACCCAGTAATCCTACTTCTGGTATTTATCTGAAGAAACCCAAAACACAAATTCAAAAAGACATATGCATCCATATGTTTATTGCAGCTTATTTACAATAACCAAGATATGAAAGCAACCTAAGTGTCCATCAATAGATGAATGGATAAATAAGAAACAGTACATATATGCAATGGTACATTACTCAACTATAAAAATAATGAAATTTTGCCATCTGCAACAACATGGATGGACCTAGAGGATATTATGCTAAGCAAAATAAGTCAGAAAAAGACAAATACTATATGATTTCATTTAAATATGGAAACTAAAAAAAAAAATTAATGAACAAATAAAACAGAAACAAACTCATAGATACAAAGAACATTTTGACAGTTGCCAAATGGAAGCAGGGTCGTGGAGGGTGAGTAAGTAAGAGGAAGGGATTAAGCAGTACAAATTGCCAGTTGAACTCAGTGATACTGCTCAATCTGCAACCTCAGGTCTTTTATTATACCACTGGCCTGTGCTTCTAGGCCACTTTTTCTGTTTTCTTCTTTCAGAATGTCTATTTTGCTTAGATTGGACCTCCCTGGTCAGCTCTCCAAATTTCACTGCACACTGATAGTGTTTTCCAATTTTCTTTGCTATCAAGAATATTGTTTACAGCTTCTGAACATCTAATTTTGACTATGTTTTTTCTAATTTAATGGAACTTTCTAATTCTGACCAATTCTCTTATTACCATGGCCTGCTTCATTTAATAGAAGCAATTTCCTCTTTTCTCTAGACAAAATGAAAAACATATATTCCAAGCTTTTGTTCTAATAAATGAAGTGCCTATTTTAGGTAGACTATTTTAGACTATTTTCCTGTGTGTTTTTATGATGATGTTTCTCTTCTACTGCCATTTTTTAAATAGACCTCATGTTATTGATGTTGCCTGTTACTAAAATGAGATAGATCTAGGCCCAGTGGTGAAAGTAAAACCCAGTTGTTGGAACAAAAGTTGGGTTCATTTGGCATCTCTTATAACTGGTATAAAACACTATAATTTTCTTTGGGGGCAAAGAGAATCATTCAGGCTTAGAGAATAAGGGGAATAGCTTTAAGTTTTACTGCTTCTATTTGACTAACTCCCTATTCACATATGTAATTTGAAACCCCAAGGAATGGCTTTGCTTGCTAATGCAGAGAAATTAGAAGAGCATGGTAAATGACCGAAACTGGACCCAGAAGCCTATATGTGAAGAGTTGATGGCCCAGAGATGTTATTATCCATTTTGACTCAATAGCAAAAAGGTCTAATTTATTTCCTGTTAGAAATATGAGCATGCTCTAATCTTATTCCTATTAATATTATTGTATAAATATTTTTATGTTTATTTATGAACACAGACATAAACCCTCACTATCTCCCAGGTGGCTGTTTTAACTGTTTATATTCTACCCTCTTTTGCACCCACCTTTTATATCTTTAAGTGATAATGTTACTTATTTTTTAAAGTTGTAAAAACCAATAAAACAGATATTACAAGTACCTTTTCATGAATTCATACACAGGATTTGTAATTTCTACCATAAGGTGAAATTTTTCATCATTCATACATTTTAGCATAACTTGCGTAAAAAACTCCAGGAATCTAGGTTTCTGTTTAAATTTCATAACTGTGAAAACAAAGAAGTTCATATACAGTTATCAATACAGTTAGTGGTGCTAAAAGGTTCCTATTGCTAATAGTCATTTTGTTCCAACAGACAAGTTTGTTAACCTACTCTTTGGATTTCTGACTTTTAAAAAATATGTGGGATTAAATGTGATGGGAACAACTGTTTTTCTAAAATCAAATAATCCTTTACAGTCTATATTTCATTTTTTTTCCAATATCTCAGTGTGAAGGAGGATTTTATAAAAGTTTCCTCTAATGTATGACTAGTTGGAAAAAAACTGCTGAGAATTATCAGAATAACTACTTACCCTAATTTTTATTATATTTTACTGTGAATTAAACAATAATCTTGCTATTTCTTCATAGCTGAACTCAAAGATCACTAACATGTTTTTCACTTGCCCAGTTTTCGTAAGCTTCATAATACCATTTACTACTAAAATAAGCCACCGCCAAGGTTCCGTCTTTCCAAACTTTAAATCGGGTACCTATTTATGTCTCTTTCATTACTTGACAATCTACATTTTTCTGAATGGATAAGAACCCAAAATCTTCTGCCTAAAACAGTTTAGACCTTTAAGTAGAAAACAACAGAATCCACAATCTTCAATAGTAAATTGAGTGAACATTTTACATATTTTAGTTATACATTTAGATTACCTACCTTCTTTCACAGCACCTTTGATGGACCAATTTAAAACTATAGGGTAAAGAAATATAGGGTCCTCTGCTCCTGAGAGTTCAGTTGTAATATCTAAAGTTTAAAAAAATAAGTTGTAGGTTCTGTTTAACATCAATAACCAAATATGAAAATTCTTTGGAGGGGATGAAACACAGGAAAATACACAAAATATTTTTCTGAATTATGTGCCTTAAAAATATCAATTATGTCATATTTTAGAAATTAAACAATCTGACAATCTCAATTATTTTTCTTTCATCTTTCTCCCTAAAAGCCAAGGAGTCTACTACCAAACGAGTGAAGAGTTTCCTAAGGCATGAATCTCTTATTCAACAGTTGTCATGTATTTGCAAACCTCAGACTCAGAAACCTACCAATTATATTAACCCCATTTTTATAAAATTATAATTAAAAGACAGTAAAGTATAGACTAATGAAGAACACAACCACTAGAGCCAGATGCCTGGGTTCAGATTCTAACTCTGATACTTTTTAGTTATGAGACTTAGGAAGTTACTCAGCTTCTCTGTGCCTCAGCTTCCTTATCTTTAAAATGGGTATGATAATAATAGTACCTTCTTCACAGAGTTGTTATATAAAGGTTATATAAGTTTTAATGTGTATAAAACACTAAAAGTAGTTTCTGGTATATAGGAAGCACTGTATAAAACTATTATTTCTATTATTGTTTTATTATTGAATCTACTGTTTAGTTAGTAAAATTAGTAAAATTACATTGTGCTTTTTAGTAAAATGTGAGGGACTTGGGGGGTAATATGGAAATAAATAATTCACATTTCTAGAACACTTTACATTTTAAGAAATTATATTTTTTATAAGTAACTAGACAATTACAGCTTTTCCAAAACTATGTTTACTGGTTATGTGAATAATAGAGCATTGTGTTCAATTCAGAAATTCAGCTTGAAACAGAAATAGAGCATGATGAAATAGAGTAAGAGATCCAAGTCAGGGATTCCAAAGTGCTACAACAACCCAGATATAACTGAGGCACACAGTAAGAGAGGTGAAGTAGAAACACAGAAATCTACAAATATAGTCACTTCCCAAAACACCAAGGGGCCAATAATGGAGCCTCCTACTTAAGAGAATTTTAGGTACTCTTGTTCTTCTGTAAGATTTGAAGTACCTACTTTTTAAAAATGCAATAATACTTTTCATCACCAGAAACTAAATCAATTTCCTAAGCAAATTTCCAAACTGCAAACTCCAAAGTCCCAACCATTGTGTTAACATATTGGTCTATTATAAAATTACTGTAGAGCACAATGACCTGAAATAAAAGAATCTTTCACTTGAGTAGACCAAAGTTCAAATCACTCACAGATTAACACCCTTCATGCTATTCCTCTATTACTCAGCCACATTTTTGCCATTAGAGCAGTGATTCTCAATATTTCCTTCCTCTCTCCCAAATACATTTGGCAGCATTTGCCTCCCAGTTGGTTTTCACAGCTGGGAGATGGTGTGCTATGTATCTATGGATAGAGGCCAGGGATGCTGCTTGACATCCACAATGCTGAGGACAGTCCCCACAACAAAGAATTATCTGGCCCAAACTGGAAAGTGTCAAGGTTGAGAAACCCTGCTTTAGAATCAGAAGATTTAAGCTCAAATCCAAGCCAGCTATGTAATCCTAAACAAATCACTTAATCTTTATGAGTGACATCTGTAAAAAGCAGTTAGCAATCTCTTATTAACAGTATTGTTAGGATTACTGACATAATAGAAAAGCACCATGTAAAAACCTTAAAGATTTTACCAAATGTTAATCTCCTCAATCTTTTTAACAAAATATTTTTATTTTAAAAAATATAATGCTAAACAGAAGTACATAGAACGAAAAAAATGACTACATTGCTTTGTCAGTTTGAGAAGGTGTGTCTCCATCAAGACCAGCTGCTCATTTATTTTTTCAGGTGATATTATCTGTGGTGGCTTCTTATTCTTGGAAGACTTCTTAGAACCCTAGAAACATTGGTTAAATGTCAGAATGTACGTCAACATGTTTCAACAACTGTCATTTCCAACAACATTCTTTAAATTGTTTTCATACATGGTAAACAAAACTGTGATGTATATGGCTAAACAATACATAGTAATAATTAATAATAGTCAATGTGTTCTTACTAAATGCCAGATGCAGTACTCAGTGTTTTATGGAGGCTGACCAAAATATTTCTTTTCTTCTCTCTCCCTTCCTCCCAGTAACTTCCACTCCTCCTAACAAGCACCCTGGACTCACTCTCCCAAAAGCACTTAAGGGTATGTCTCTAAAAATCCTCAAAAGAAAATGCCCAGTATGCCCTCAGAAATGTATCACTTTTTTCTTTCTTTTTTTTTTTTCATTTATTTTTCCCAACAGAAGCTTCTTTACAGCTAAGCTAAATGTCTTTGCTGCTTTGCCTTTCACTGAAACATAACAGGATCAGTAATTAGTGGATTAAAAATTGGTGGGTCTGTGCTCGGGCTCTCTACCATCATTGAGACCTGACCTGTCTCCTGTTCTTAAAAACAAAACAAAACAAAACAAAACAAAACAAAACAAGAACCTCCCAAGCCTCTTTAGGCTTACAGTGACCTTGAGCGGCTAAAATGATTTCTGACTCCTATAAATTAGCTTCTCAGTCCCTACAGGCTCAGTCAGAAGGAAGTATCACAAACTTCTGCTGGACTAGAGGCTCCAAGGAAAAATGCATGGGACCCTGTTGTACAATGACGTGCAGGGACAGTGTCCTGAGTTAAAGCCTGGGTGATATAAAAGGGCTGGCTGATGGACTTTGAGAATGAGCAACTAGGTGAAAATAAACCTCAAACTGCCTTCAGGTTAATCAAAACTCTCTAGACAAAAAAATTGCCCTCAAAAAATAGAAGTATTATGGCTAAAAACTCATCCAGTAAAACAGTACTGACATTTCAAGTTTTATGTGGTAAACAAATGCTTACTTTGAAACTCAAAATGTAATAGAAATAGAAATAGAACGACTCCAACTGAAACAGGCTCTGGGATGACAGTCTCTACCCCTACCCGTCACCAAAGGAGGTTTCAAGTAATTCCCAGTGCACCTCAGAAACCTGATAAACTAAGGGACAGTTCAAAATTTGATCTGCAAAAACATTTAACCACAGTTTCTAGGAAAGGCAATAAAACAGGTTCTAATAAGACCCTTGCTTGGGAAGCCAATATTAAAAAGTAGACTCAACCCTTAGCAGTCTCACAAAGAAAACAATCTAAGTGTGATGATGAGTTTAGGAAACCTACTTTGAATAAGTGAAAACTCTGACATGTGTTTACTACATTCAAAGACCCTCCCAGAATAATAAAATCAATTTGGGAGAGACTTTACAGAGCTTTTAGTCCAAGGTCCAGCTGGGGGTAGGAAATTTTCTATCAACCCTTAACTGATAGTCAGTACTGGTGATAGGGAACTATTCAGGATTCCAGCATGAATTCCATTTCATTTTTTTAAATCATAATTTTCTTAAAAAGAGGAAAAAAGCTCTTCACTCTATATTACTTTTCTTTTATGTAAATATGACAAGTTAAAAACTGATCAATTTTCTAACATGTTTACAAATACAATATGACTTCTTAAAAGACTCAAGTAAATAAATATAAGCTTAAAGATGAGAAACAAAGAATAATTACCTCCTCTTGTATTTCTTCTTGGTCAGTAGTACCAAATACAGATTTGCACCCTAATGTGATATCCAACATCTTTTTTCCATAATTTATAATAATTACTGCCAGGTCGTATTCCTTCCATGAACGCAGAATCTAATTTAAAATATTCATTAATTATCTCTGTTGAAAACTCTTGTCTATTCTCAAGTGTCTTGCATCATTTTTCATAAACTCAAACATCCCATTAATGTTTTGGGTCTAAGAATTCCCCTATTTCTCTTAAGGAAACTAGAAGCATATCTCTATATCTTATTTCCTAGATTAAAACTGCATAATTCCACTACTTTGAATAAAGAACAAATAACAGGAATCTCATCAATAATGAATTCCCCATATCTGGGACATGTACCAATATACATTTTGGCATAGTAAGTTAAGTAAGAAAATATCTCCACTAAAAAGATCCATACTAAAACAAAATCATTCTTAAAGGCCACATAACCATCACCTCTTGTCATTAAGTTGCTCTCTAGGTGAAATGGTACAATTGCTGACCTCATGGTGTCTTGAGGCAGGGGGTGTGTAAATGATTTATAAGGCATTCTGGTAGTGAACTGGAGTTAAGCTGTTTGGGGCAGATTCCCCATGAACCCTAGGGGGAATAGACACCGTAGCTTAAGAAGGGATGTGGCCCGCTCAGCCACTCTCATCCACAGTCCCTGTTACTAATGGTTATTCTTTGGCCTTTTCTAGCCTGGCCCTTACCTACCTCTCCAGCATAAGCTTTCACCACTCATCCCTTTGTACTGAAGTTTGCAAGATATTTAACTGAGTATAAATTCTGATACTCACCTTGGTTTCAGGACTTCATGCCTTCCTACAGCTGAGTCACTTTCCCAGAACAGCTTCCCCCTTATTTATATAACCCTACCTAATCACTAAAACCTGAGCTCCAGCATCAACTCTAGGAAAGCCTCCTTGGCCAGCAATCTGATTGGCACAGAGCCTGCTGTAGTGAAGGGTCACATGAAGGGGACGCGTTCATTATGAACCTCATAGGACAATTCTCTAAGGATTTAAGTGAGTTTGTATGAATTTGTTATATGGAGATGTACTCTGTTAAGTAGAATAAGTTAGTATTTAAGGTAAACAACAACTGTTACCTCCCATGCAGGGAAAAGATAAAATAAGGTGGCTGACAAATAGTGAGTAGCTACTTCAACCTGATAAGAGAGACCTGATGCAGTGTTAAGAACTGGAAATATCTCTGTGGGACCAAGGAAATAGTGTTAAACTAATGCTGACTGTGGAACAGAGTGTGGGAAGGAAAATACTGAAATAAGCTTTGAAAAAATAGATGGGTTTAGTCATGCCGGGCCTTGAATGCCAGGCAAAAGAGTTCACTCTCATTATAAAATTGATACGAGAAGGAGCAAGTTTTGTTGTTAGAAAACAGAAACGATCTAATGTTTGCTCTCCACTCAATTTTGCTTTCCAATATATTTAAGTCCTAGGCTTACAAAATATGTAATCTTTCTCTCTTGTTATAATATGCCAGTAGAAAACATTAAATGATAAAGAAGTTTTCCAATTAAAAGAAAAAGAGAACCAAACCTACTTAACATACCAAATGGTGAACAGAAATTCAAAAACTATGCCAGATATTTAGCATAATATTTTTTAACAATGCAAAATTAATGAAACATTTAAGATGTTGTGTCTCAGAAGTGGTAATTTATTTAGAATTCTGGAAACTTTTAGAAAAACTACTACTGCTTATAGAAGAAAGACTGAACCATCTGAAAAGATCACCAATTTTTTAAACATAACAAAGAAACAAAGTCATTGAGCTTTGCATGTCCTAAGAGAAAAATCCATTGAAAAATGTCTTTATATGAAATGAACACCTGATATCTGGGATTCAGGGCTAATCCACAAAGTTTTGGGATTGCTGGTCATGCTGGAGGAAGCTTCTGAAATGAAAATTCTCGGCATATCAATTTGGGACAGTACCAGCTCTAATAGCAAAATACATGCCAGGTCATTTGTACAATAGCATCACTTAGATCTCAATACAATTCCTCAAGTGGAGGGAAAGGGAGTAGAGTCATGGGTGGCAAATTAGAAAATGCAGAGCCAGTCCCAAGTTGTTGTGTGCCACAGGGGAAAAATCACAGGAGACCAAGAGGGGAGGCATGTGAATTCCAGGACTTCAATCTCCACTGGGCCCCAAATGCTGGTTGGAAACTCTGTTCTAGGTCAGCTCTCTGTACCATTTTCCACAGGGGCTGTTGCAAACTCTCCCATTTTCTCAAATCTCTGAAACCCACTCTTACTTTTCAACTCCTCACTCTCAGCAAATAACCTTGCTTCCTTTCTCCAGAGGAAATGTAGGGGATCTAGCTTATCTCCAGGCCACAAACCTACCTACACACTCACCTGTAACTACAAGCATCTTTTCCTCCCATTAGAGAGTAGAGGTGAATTTCCTGTCCAGATAATCCCATCCCAATGTGCTCAGATCCCATTGCCTCCAGCCTTCTCAGAGTCCTTGCTCTAGTAATCGCCTCTCCTTTCCTATATCCTCATCCTTTCTCTCTCCTGGCTCCTGGCCATTAATAGGCACATGTTGTAGAGTACTTGGATAAGCAGGATTGCTTTTATGGGTGGGTGGGTTAGTTGATTTTTAGCAGAAGTTGCTATTGGCAAATTGCAAGCAACAAACTGCCTTGGAATAGAATTTCTATGTTCTGGTAGAAACACTACAGTAACTGCTATAAATTATTTAAATATAAAGTGAGTAGTTGTTCAGTGCTCTGGAAAGAGAGGGTAACTTGGCCTTCTCTTATTTGAAAAAGCTACTCCTCTCCTGGAAACACTCATTGATGGAAGCATTTGGCGAGGAAAGGCCAAGCAGATGAATATACTCTGAAGAAAAGTAACCTTGAAAGGTGCATAACACTAAACAATGTGTGTGACTGAGCAGTTGGATTGTGTGAGACTGCTTTTTCAATGGTTACACCATGTGACAATGACAGAACTAACAGCAGCAGGAAGATTCTCAAGGTTGGGGAGAGGTTAGGAATGACAAAAGAGCTTTGGAGTAATGGACTCTCCTATACCTCCTCTTGGACTGGCCCCTTGGACTAGGTGCACCCTTGAGATTCTTAGATAATTCTCTTCCCTTCTCACTTAACACACTGTCCTCAGGTGATATTATCTGTTTTTGATGCTTCGATGAGTCTGTATACTAATAACTCCTTTGTCTTTATACATATTTGACCTTTCCTGAACTCCAAGTCTATAGGTCCAATTATATAATGGCCACCTCTTTGGATATCTTATCAGGCCCCAAAATTCAATATATTCAAAACCCACCATTTTCTCCTTTTTCCACACAAATTTACTCTCCATCCAGGGTTCAACACATAGTACTGTATTCACCCCACTGTCCAAGACAGACAGCTGGATTACTGTTGACTTTTTCTCTCCCTTCTTTTTCCCTCTATACCCAATAGGTTTTCAGGTTTTCAATTCTACCTCACATATAACTCTTGAATCTTTTCAATCCTCTCTCCCACTTTTCTACACTAATTTAGTTTATTATCTCTCACTTTCTAACTCATTCCCTGCCTCACTTCTTATCCCCCTCTAGTTACTAGCTGTTGCACAACCAAAATAATTTTTTTTCCAAAATGCGAATCTTATTATATCATTCCCAGTTTGAAACACTTCGATGGCTCCTCTTATCATAAAATCTATTTATCTCCCTTTTTCTGTGTATCTTGAATTTTGTGCCCTGTTGAGAAAGGTCTCTGCTGATTTCAAGGCCATTCATCCTTGAATCCATTGGAACTTTATTTTGTTCATGGTGTGACCTAGGACTCTGGCTTTATTTTCAGAAAATTTGTCAATTATACCAGCACCTTTTATTAAATAAACTACTATAATATATTATCATTTCCTCAATGGATCTGAATACCACTTTTGTCATATGTTAAGCTCTTCTGTAGACCTGGGTCTCACTATTGCTGGACTCTCTGTTTTCCACTGAACTATTTGCCTATTATTCTGTTAACACCATTTTAACTGAAGTGGCCTTTTGGCAAATATTATTATCTATAGAGAACTTTTAAATTTTTCTAATCAGTTTTAGAAAAACCCCATTGAGATTCTTACTGGAAGTGCATTACATTTAAATATTATTTTAAGAAGGATTTATATTTCTATGACAGTAAGTCTTCCTATTCAGGAACTTGGTATGGCCTGCCATATGTTCAGATCTTATTTTGTGTCCTTCAGTAAGATTTCACAGTTCTTTTATTTAGATCCTTTAACATTTTGTTAAATTTAAAATATTGTGTATTATAAGTGCTATATTTTCCCCTCTCCATTTCTAACTGACTACTGCTAGTATTAAAAAAAAAAAGAAAAACTTATCAGTTTGTGTTTTACCTATAATCACTTTATAAATTCTCTTTTTAATTCTGGTAATTTTTTACTAGATTCACATGGGTTTTTTAGACTTCTAAAATTACACATAAGTTATATTTTTCTTTTCTAATATTATAAAATTATTTCATATTCTTTCCTATTGCATGAGACAGAATCTCCACAAATAACAAATAACATTATAATTGAGTCAGCACCTCCTGTTACTGAATTTTAAGGAAATGGTTTCGGAAATTTGCCATTTAGTATTATATTTGCTATAAATGTCTTTATCATTACAGTAGTCTCCACTTATTTGCAGTTTTGCTTTTCCTAGTTTCAGTCACCATGGTCAAGCTCAGTCCAAAAATATTAAACTTCCCCAACCATAGACATCATCTGCTCCTGACATCCAACCATTGACATCATCATGGATCCATGATCCAGGATCACTCCGAGCAGACGATCCTCTTTCTGATGTATTGTCAGAAGATCAATACTAGCCTAACACTACATCACAATGCCCACATCATTCACCTCACTACTTCATCTCATCATGTAGGCATTTTATCATCTCGCATCATCACAACAAGGATGAGTAGAGTCCAATAAGATATTTTGGGTGAGAAAAAGAAAGAGATCACATTCATATAACTTTTATTAGAGTATACTTTTATAACTGTCCTATTTTATTACTGTTGTTAATCTCTTAGTGTGCCCAATTTATAAATTAAAAATTTCAAAGGTATGTATGTATGTAGGAAAAAAAATTTTAAAACATAGTACATATAGGGTTCATTACTATCTGTAGTTTCAGGCATCCACTGGGGGTCTTAGAACAAATCCCCTGCAGATAAGGGAGACTACTGTATTCAATCGCTTCTTCCCATATCTAACTTATTTAGAAATTTTTCTAAGTGTTATCAAATGTCTTTGTAGCATTTTCATATAACCTTATTGTTTTTATCTTTTAACTTGCTGTTGTAAAAAATTCAGGTATCATTTTAATTCACACTTGATCTTTAGTACTTGACAATAAGAGACCAGAAAGTGACCAGATGCCCTCCAAGAGCAGAGAAGGTTGATCAGACAGAACAGATTGGAAGAACACTGTACATTGCCTCTCTTTGTCCTGATTAATATTTTGGGCCCTGAATTCTGCTTTTTCAGATATTTTTGTTGGCATTGTCCCAGTACCTCTGTCTTGCCATTTATTTTTCAGTGTTTGTCACTTTGTTTTATGAGTGTTTCTTGAAATAATATATTGTTGAATCTGACTTTTTATCCCATCTGCCAGTCTCTGCCTTCTGAGTTCATTGACACCAGTAAAGTAATTAATATAGTTAATTTTATTCCTTCTACCTTAAGTACTATCTCTTTTTCCTTTTTTTTTTTTCTGAATTAGCCATTTTTCCTCTCTGTCATTCCTCTGTTCATTTCTCCTTAATATCAATTTAGCAGTCCTACTGTGTTTTAAAGTTCCGTTCATGGCTATGTGTTCCTCTGTGTCATCTTTAAATATATTTCTTCTATCCAAAGAAAATAATTTTATATTATATGTATTTTTATACTGTATATATTTTTATGTATAGTATAAAATTTTTATATATAGCACAACTATGCACCAAGATTCTCTAACTGCTCACCCCTCCCTCAGCCCCAAATAGGATGGAAGCTTTAGTTCTAGGTTACAAATAAGTTTTCTTTTCAAGGACAATTCTTCTACTTCAAGAATCCCTACTTAGCATTTATATTACAAAGTCCTACTCACATCATTATTATCTATTTAATTTTAATAATACGTATATTACAAGATTCATTGCTCTCATTATTCCTCTTCTTTTTGTCTTTTACTATCTTGGGATTTCTGTTCTGAACCAATTGTCATTTGATAAAGTATTTCCTCAAGTGTTTTCCTCAGATAAGTACACAGGAAGAATACTTTTTAAATGCCTGCACTTCTTAAAATGTTTATTTTGCCCTGACAAATAAATGATATCTTTCCTGGTTATTAATTTTTGGACCCTCAGGATTATACGAAAGTTGCTTCAGTATTCTAACTTCTCTGATAAAAAGTCTGAAGTTAATTTATTCTTTTTCCATTGCAAATAACCTGTTCTTTGTGTCTCAAAACTTTAATATTTGTTCTTATCCTTGGACTTCAGGCATTTCACCAACATGTGTCTACACATGTGTTCTTACATTAACCATGCCTGGGACTCAGGGAGCTTATTCTCCATTTGTTTCTTTTCTACCTCCAAAACGCTATTTCATGTTATGAATTCTGGATCTGCCTTCTGAATTTATCTCTACGCAACTGTGTTCTACGTTGTCAGGTGTTTCTTGAGCTTCCAGATTTGACTCAAGAAATATCATAACCATAATGTTCACCTGTTTAATTTTTTTTAATCAAAAATCAAATTTGTTTGTTCAGTTACAGATTTTTCATTTTGTGTTTTAACCATCTAATGGCATCACTTTGAAAGTTTTTTCTTTTTCTTTTTCTTTTTTTTTTAAGTCATCTCTGGTCTTTTCCAACATGGTGAGAGTAAATAACAGAATTACTTACTGGTCTACTCTTCCCCCACGTGGGGTTTTGAGTCCCCTTAAGTGATTTACTACTTTTCTCTTTCTGCTAATGGTTTATGTTCCCTCAGCATCTACACAGATCAGTCATAGAGGTCTCTCTAACAACGGTGAACCAGTGAGCAATGGAAGGAATATGATTTTCTGCCCTCATGTCAGGCCATGAACAGCCAGCAAATCATGACCTCTGTGCTAAGGTAGAGGGTAGAGGCCTCTCCGTTGCCAGATCTCCATTGAAACAAACTTAACTCCCAACCAAAGTGATGGATCAGATCAGCCCACCAATGCAGTGAAGGATACAGCCCTTCTTTTAGGAGACTCACTGGATTCAGTCAACCAAAGCCTTTGAAGAAATATACTAGGTTGGTCTTTGAGCCAAACAGTGAAGATAAATAAGCCTGCCTCTCTGCCTGTGGTCTCTTGGTTCTTTCTTGTTTCCAAAGTAAATGAGGTCCCATAAAGTGCCTTCTTTCTATCCCCCAACCCCTTCCTCCCCAAGATACACAAATCCAGGCTTTACCAACTTGCCTGGTTGGGCTACTTTTAACCTAAAATACTGAGTGTTATTTTTTAAAGTATTCTAATTCTTGAGATTAATAGTATCTTAACCTTATAAATCCTTACTGCTCCTAAATTTTATGACACTAGACAAAGAATGAGATAAATACCTTTGCTATATAGAAGATACAACACGCTATCATGTGCTGTATGCTTTCAAAAGTCGCAACATGTTTCTTTGAGTGGGTGATGTTTGGTAGTCCTTGTAAAACCACTACACACTTTATCAAGATCTAAAAAATAGAAGCACAATGATTTTGTTGAAAAATATCATCCTTACTCATTATAAAATGTTCTATTCAAATCATGCAAGTTTTAAGCCATCAAATTCTATTGTTAGTAATTTTTTGGTAAATTGCTTATAATGTATACAGGAATGTAGTCTTAAATAAAATTATGTTCTATGTTCAGATGAGTAACTCATCTAAAGTAACTTAAAAACCTGTAGAGAGAATAAAATAAGTACACAAATAACTATAAAACAAAGCACATTTTGATAAGTGCCATAGAAGATATAGGCAGAATGCTACATGTATACAAAAAACACTAAGATCACAGCCAGCCAGGCTTAGGAGGACCTTGAAAAACCATATGAGGAAGAATGTACCATATTAAGTATACAGTGATATCAGATACTTGAAATAACAGTTTCCTTTAAAATTAAAACCAAACATTCATATCCCAAGAAATCAATTAATATTGGTATTTACTTTTTATTCTCCCTGCTTCATATTATATGATCCTGAATTTAATCAAGAGCTAGATGATTAAGTTTAGCTTTCTATTCTGTTGCACATTTCTAAGTAATATTACAATCAGAAAAGTAGAGTTGAGATTGCATCAATCTATTCATCATTCGGATTATCCCAAAGGACAAATTAATATATGGATGTTGATCCTCTGGTGGGACATTAATTGCTTCAAGCTAGCATTCTAACACTATTACTATTGTTACAATACACTTACAAGACTTTTTATCCTTCTTTAATTCCTCCCTTTCACCATCACCCTCTCTTACCCTACCACACCATATCCCCAAATCATGTTAACAACATTAAGTCCTGTAGCTTTCTCCCAGCTCAAATAATTATATGTGTATACATATAATTCCATAAATAGACATAGGAGGGTTAATGTTACATTACAAAATAGAATTTATACACACTTTTCTAAACTGTGCATTTCTCCTTTAACCATGTCTTGTGAAAAATCTCTCCAAGTCTACAGGTTTAGCTCCAATTCATTATTTCTAATGGCTGCATAACATTATTTGATGTAGATTGACCATAATTTATTCAGTCATTTCCAGAATCTCCATGTTGCATAATTTTATAGTTGGTGTTTTATGGTCTGGCACTACTGGCTATCCTCCTATTACTATACTTTCTCTTTGCCTCCAGTTTTCTTTCCACCACCAAGAATGCCACAATAAACATCCTTATATATGCTCATGTTCCAGTGAGTGGCAACTGAGGCACCAGCTCTGAGATAATACCCAATGAAGACGAGGCACCATCCTCTAGGGCATAGTACACATTCTAAATCAATGACCATTATATGGTATTGCGTCCTCAGCAGGTAGAACACATGGATCCAGTAATTGAGGGGTGTAGTGAGAAGTTTGATCTTACCAACTGGTGATTTTGCTCTATGGGATAAATTACTAACAGAGGGATTGCTCTGTCAGGTAAATGCATTTTTAATTTTACTAAAATTGTATTCAGTGGGATAAATTAATAGTAGAGGGATTGCTGTCAAATATATTTGTTTAATTTTAATCAAAATTAGTTTCTTTAAAACTAAGATTGTTTTACCAGAATCTAAAGCCTATAACAATTCACATTTCTCCCATAAATGAATGAGAATGCCTTTGCCCCACATCCTCACCAGCAATAGAAATTACAGATCTTTTCAATTCTGCCAGTGATACTACATTGCTCATTTAATGTGCATGTCTATGAATATTCAGTTTGAGCATCTTTTCATGTGCCTCTCAGTCACTTGGATTTGCTTACCCTATAAACTACCTATTCCTATCCTGTGCCTGTTTTACTGTTACATTATTATTAATTTGTAAGATTTTTTTTTACATATGTTACCCTTCATCAGTATTAAATTTTTTTCCGAATCCATACATTTTATACTATCTTTACTATGATCCTTTTTTTCACACCTAAGTTGCTGTACATACAGTCAAATGTGTCTTTTTTCTTGTTGTTTCTAAGAGTTTTGTCTCAGTTAGAAATGGTTCCCCCAACCCTGGATTGAACAGGTAATCTCTTGGGATTTTTGTGTGTGTGTAAAAATTTTTGCTCCATTTTAAATATAAGATCTCGACTTTTTGTAGATAGTACAAATAGGATCAAACTCTATTTTCTTCCAGGTGAATATCCAGTTGTTTTACCACCATTTACTAAAAATATCCATTCTCTTCCCACTAAATTATAATGCCAATTCTGTCACATATTACATTCTCATACATACTGAGGCCTATTTCTGGAATCTCCTCTCTGTTCCACTCATCTTTTCCTATCTAAACAATATAATTTAATTAGAAACTCCATTCCTAAACTTTTCCTGAGAGCTATAACCTATTCTCTGAGTTATAACCCAATCTCTGAAAATTCTGCAGTTAAAGGCATCCTGGATTAGTGGGATCCTAAGGGATGACATTGGACTATTCCAAACCCAACCAGCTGAGCATGAATTACAGCTGCTGTTCCCAGTGTGGTGTCTTCGCTAGAGGACATTAAGAAGTATGCATTGATATGGTTACTGTTTTCTTTTCTACTCTCTTGGGAAGAAGTACCAGAAGTTCTCATTCACACTAGGCACACAAAAATATACATTTAGAGTCTTGCCCCAGGGCAATGATAACTCCATCTACTGATGTAAGGACCTGAACTTTCTGGACATTTCTGAAAGTGGACCACAATATTAATAACATGTTAGTCAGACCTAATGAGCAAGAAAGGGCAAGTACATCAAAGACGTTGGTATGATGAATGCCCTCTACAAGGTAGAAATGAACACTATGATGATTCAGGGCCTGACACCTTAATGAACTATCGGGGACATACTGGGACACCTGCTCCAAAGTAGGTCTGACATATGGCACCTCTCACCTCTTAAAAGAAAGGACAATGCCAGGTAGACACCTCTGGATTCTGGAGGAAGAATATTTCACACTTGAAAATACTGCCCCCAACCATTTACAAGTGACATGAAAGGCTGCCAACTATGAGTCTAGATTTTGGATTTTGGAAGCCTATCTCTTCAGCAGCTGAACTTCTAGATGTGGGAAATATGGGAGGAGGCATGTCTATGCTCCAGTAGAGCCACCTAAAAGTGAATATTTGGTTCTCAAAATCTGAGTCAGTGATAACAATGATAACAACAATAATGGTGATGATGATAACTTTCTATACTATCAGCAGTAAAATCTTCCTTCACTCATTACATTTTTGTGGTAGGCAGAATTGTAAGATAGTTCCCAAGACCCCTTCCCCAGGTGTATAAGGCTTGTACAACCCCTCCCTTTGAGTATGGCTAGGACCTGAATGGGATGGCATCATCACTCTCATGACTACACTGTGTTATATAAGAAGCATACTGCCATGTTGTGGCAGGAGCTGAGGACCTTCTTTCACACAACCATGAGGAAATGACTTCTCTCAACAACCGGTGAGCTCAGAACCCCAAGCCTTAGATGAGATCGCAGCCCTGGCCAACATCTTGATTTCAGCCTAATGAGACCCTGAACAGAAGACCTGCCAACCTGTATCCAGCCTCCTGACCCATAGAAACTATGAGATAGTAAATGGGTGATATTCTAAGTCATTAAGCTTATGGTGATTTGTTGAAGCATAGACAACTAATATAATCCCTTCAGCCAGGTGATCCTCCAACTTCTCCATCACTGGAATACCAAGTATGTATTCTTGGGTCATCCACCGAGTTTCTCCCCCAGATGATAGCTTTAACAACATGCTTAAATAAGTGTTGCTGTTTCTAACATTATAAGAACACCAAAAGTGAAATGACTTTAAAATCCTAGAAAAGCAGATTTTCAATATTTAAATATGGACAGGAATGGCATTGAATGTTTTCAGAGAAACACATTTTTAAGTCCTTATTTATGTTTGCCCAGAGATATCATTTAAGTTATTAAAATGTTTTTTTCAATTAACTCATGAAATTTCATAATACTTGTATTTATACTTTATAAGAGATATATTGCTTTTTCTTTTCTAAAATACATTGTTGAGTTGCCTTTATAAAGATACCGTATCTGGTGGGGGAAAAGGCAAGTGGGGGACAGGGCGGAATATCCTTACCTGTACAACAGGTACCAAAACAATGTTGTGATAGATTATAGGAGCAAGGAGGCCATAACATTGAGTCACAGCTTGAAGGGTGTAACTGGAATCATTTAGGTAGCTGCTGAGTTCCAATGCCACTAACACTCTCTCACATTCAATTAGTCTAGCAATCTGTAAAGAAATAGGTGTTGTTACTCAAGTTGAACATCAGATGCTTAACTAATATATTTCTAATGAGAAGAAGGGGTAGGAAATGTGATCTTTGTGGCTTAACAACAACATAAATGTTGCTATGAAGAAAATCCAAATTCAGAAACAACCCTAACTCCCTGATAATGCTACAAATGGATAACACGATCTTAAAATTAAACTTCAGGACATTTGTATTGTATTTCATAACAGAAAAAGAACTAATCTCTTTTCATTGTTAAGATAAAATCTTGGCTATATTTTCATGTTAGAAAAAATCCAACTTTTTCAAAAACATAGATTATAACAAATAATAGTTAAAATATTGTCTCTGTAATATTGCCCTCACTTGATTAACGGAGACCCATTTTCTTTCTGGAACTGTGAGAAAATAGTAAACTTTCAGTAGACCAAATTAATCTTCTGTTATAATTCTCCTTAAATAAAAAATGATAATAAAATGTAAAGTTAGGCTTTTGTGATTAAGTGCCCCTTAAAAAGAAAAAGAATCCTATCTTATTTTCCCAGGGTAAAATTTCATTATTTTCTATATCACTAGAATGGTAGTCTAGCATTCTAGAAATTGTTAAAGTACTTAAGGATTATCTTTATTTTCAGACTAGATGTTAAAAGAAGAAACTGAATGCAATGAAGTAGGAACAGGTTCATGGTTGTGAGTGCTTGGGCTCTACAAGATTGTGAACTTGTCTTGGGCAGAGTCATGTTTTTTCACTTTCATATCCACAGAAACTAGCACAGCCTCATGTAATAATTTATTGGTTAACTAATTAATAAATAAATTGATGGGTTGTTATTAAAAGCAAGAGAATTATAAGGTTGTAGATGTGCACAGAGCAATGTTTATAAGAACTCTGAGACTCCATCAATAAAAAATACTAAATTCCTGCCCTGCCTTGTACAGGAATGTAATATTATAATTTAAAAGAATTTGGTAGGTTAATACACACCACTACGAAAATATGTCCAAGATATATTATAAAAAGTGTTTAAAAGTTGCAGAACATCAAATACATCATAATCCCATTTTTGTAAAAAGTAATAATAATAACAATAACAGATTTGTCTATGAATATTTTCAAAAATTTGAGAAATCGTATGAGAACAAAAACAGTATTCTTAGGGACAACAGGATTACAACGGGTTTCACTTTATATATTATATATTTTTGAACAGCTGAAATTTATACTACTTTTGTACAGAGAAAAAAGATAAATTGGAAAAAAAAAAAACGATGACCTCGGGGCAATGAAACTTATATAGAATATCAAATAAACCAGCATAATCATACAATTGCCTCTCAGTCCATTCACAAGCCAGGATATGCATTCCCAAAAAGAACACGAACTTGAAACATCGAGAAGCAAATAAAGGGGAACTGGCACATTTTTAGTCATTTTAATTAACTTACTTGTTGAGAAGGGGAAATCTCATTGCCTTTAATATTATCACAGAAAAGATTTTCTTCTTTAATTTTAATATCACTTGTTACAAAAATATTTCTAAGAAAAAGGTATAAGAGGATTGAAGAAGTCTCTGCCAAAATATCTGAATGTAATCTGCAAAAATGAAGTAAATGACATTACAGGTTTAAATATAAAATGATTTAGCCTGTGGACTTGCCTTTTTAGATTGATTTTTCTTAGTAGCTACACAATGATCCCAAGATAGCAGCAAAAATTTGTGGAACAGCTACACTTGTACAGTATTTAAGTCAAAATTAAAGACTATCCTTAACAAGTTCACAGCTAAGAAAATTACACTGCTGACATATTACATCATAGATACATAAAAATAACTATTGTCTAAGTATTCTAGTTCTAACATATAAAGTTCTTTTTATCAATATAATAAAATTACTATAGATATTCAGACGTTCGGAAAATAGGCCCAAATTTCAATTAATGAACTATTTATAGCAGAATCAGCCATAGTGAGAGAGAGAGAGAAAGAAAGAGACTTAATAATTATTGGATTATTTTTAATTATCTTTTCTAAATTGCAGTCAACAGTGCCAACCGTTGGCAAAATGTGAAATCTGCAATCTTCCTTCTTTGTTTCCAATATTCCCTTCTTTACCATTAGCCTTACTTAGTGACAAACCCTCCCTTCTAAGCTTTAGATCCATCTACACTCCATAGCCCCTATTCCTATAAAAGAAGAAAGAATCTGACATCAGTAATTCATACCTGAAGATTATCTGTTTCACCACCATGTAAAAATCTGAAATTTTCTTTGCCAGGAGAATTTTATTTCTCCCACGCCTGCAATTCATACTAAACTTCCTCTTTGTCCTCATGCTGACCATCAGTACATTGACACGTGCAATGAGTCCAGTTTATCACTTCTTCTTGGCTCCATTTCCTTTCCTACCCAGCTTAGACTCTAGTAGCCATTTCAATAGTGACCTCTCCAGCACTTTGGATTCTGCACCCCTTATTTTATGCAATAATCAATTTGTTTGACGTTCCATAGATGTCACTGTCCAATTTTTCTATCCCTGCCACAATGTTCAATCACGTATTTGCTTATTATCATTCCTTTTTTTTTTTTATTTCATTCAAACTAATTGCCATTCCTAAAAGTTTCTTCTTAGTTTTCATCCTACCCAACATGTCTATAGCATATTATTAGGCCACTGTGCTACCTAACCTTGCATCACATTCAATACTGCTGGCCGGTCCTGCCATGATGATCCTCGCACTTGCCTTGGCAGTGCACTTTCCAATGCTTTCACCTCCTGAACTGCTCTTTTCCAATGGCCTTCCTTGGTTCCACTTCTTGCTTCCGTCTCTTAAATGTTATTAATGTTCAGGGTTCAAATTCTAGCCTTCTATCTTTTCTGCTAAACAGTCATTCCCTGGGAGATATCATTCATTGTCAAAATTTCAATGATGACCTCAGTGGACAATTTCTAAATCTGTATCTCTACCCTTGACCTCTCTCCTGAGTTGTCGGCACTAAATATCCAACTACCTACTGGATATCTCATATCTGCGAAGGCATCCTACTGGAAAACTAAACTTGAAATATCCCCAATCAAATTCATTAACTTCCTCCAAAACCTTGTTCCATCTTTCACGTTTCTTTAGTAAACGTCATAGGCTTCCCAGTCAGATAACCCTGGAAATTCCAGTCAGCTTTTACTTCTTCTTCTCTTATCCTCACAAGTTACATAAAATCTTCCAAGTCCTGTCTCTTTCTCCTCCAATATGCCTCTCAAATCCATCTCCCACAGTATCTTGCATCCTTGTAAGATGTTTTAATTGAATGGAATTATACCTTTATGTGAATAAGCATTATCAATGCCTTTCCTCAACCAGCAGTTGCATTTTAATCTCATTATCTTCGATTGAGAAGTGAAGGGTTTGTCTACTTATTAAAGAAATTTCGGGACTTAATGAGCAGGTAAAGATTTTGGTTTTGAACTTGTTAAGATAGCCTGAACTCACACTAATGCTTATTTCTGAAGCTGCTCTTAAACTTTAAGAAAAATAGCAGTAAAGCAAACGATGGCTTGTGGTTTTAAATGGCTTCTACCAATCTATTTTCAGTGACTGATGGTATAATCCTGGGATCTTCTCCAAGGGTAAAAGAAAAAGCCTTTTACCCTAACAGTCCACCTGTCAGACCCTAACTTTAACCTGAACCTAACCTTTCTCTGTTACAAAAGTTCCCAATGATACTTGTGTCTTCTAGTATAACTGACAGTACCTTGGTTAGTATTTGGTATTTTTTTCCATAACCTTCATTAACTTACATTCAGAATGCATCCATATGCCTCCACTGTGTTTTTCTGATTCTAGCAAAGGAGTTTCTAACAAGGACTCGAGACCTTGGAAAGCATATATTTATTAAAATACTTATTGGAAATAGTTTCATGTGGACTACCCTAACATGAAATTGAAAATAAATTAATTCTAGGCTTCACACCTGACATTTAATTTCAAAAAGCAAATTAATATTTTAAAAGAACATTTCTAATTACCTTCTCTGTGTAATAGTCATTATATTGCTTAAACTAATAACAGATTGTTCATTGTGAGGTGGTGAAGCAACAAAATAATCCCAAACTGGTGAGAAAACTTTCTTGGCCAGCTCATAGTTATCAATCTGATAGGCAACCTACAACAGAAAGCACATTATCTTATGTGATATTTTTATTTGCAAAATGTACATTTTAAAGAAGAATTCTGATTGGGCCGATCACACACTAATTTCTTAGACAGTTATTCACGTTTGCTGTTCTGTTTTACAGTGCCACAGTAAGGTAATGACGGCCACTGGCAAGGGAGACAGACACATTATGAAATCTCTTTTATTTCTAAATTGCATGGAAATTTGAAACTCTGTAAGGATGTTTCAAATTCTCATAAGCAAAACAAAGATCACATCTGAGCCAAATTAATTTCATTCCCATCTATCTCGGCAGCGCACACCATTTATTATAGACACTGTTATAATGAACAATCTGTTCCAAGAGAAACAATCAGATTTCCCAAACCCAAAATATGAAATATACTTCATTCTTTTCTGGTTCTGACTGACACTTTCAGAGCTTCTGTGCAACAAAGGTTCACAGCTGAAAAGAGTGAGGAATAAAACAGAGATGCTTCCAAGAAGCCAGGATATGTTTCAAGTTTAACTCATTCAACATTAGGCAAAATAACTGATTTTGCTGGTAAAATCTAGACACTCAGGAGAAAAAAAAAATCAATTTACCTACTTCTTTTGGGAGAATATATTTCTTTAAATTTATTTCTAAAAATCATCCTATTTAAACATTTAAAACAATATGAAATCTCACCACGAGTTATACGCTGTTTCAAATCCTTACTGGATATAAAGTATAAGTATATTCACTGAATTAAATATGTAAATGACAAGTTGCTAGAATATATTCCACTCAAGGAAATAACTTATAGAACCAGAATTTTTAAAAATCTTCCAAGTCAGCACTTATAATCAACCAAACAACAAACTTTTATGAAGTTTCTGTGTGCTAAGCACTGTAAAAATAGATTCTTCAAATCTTAAAATGATTTCACATTCCATGAAACTGTAATCAAGTTATAGATATAAAACACATGAAATCACAGGAAAACAACAAAGAATAACATAATAATTGTGGAGGCTTAGAAAAGGAGAAATGAAGACTTCAATGAGGAGGCAGGGCTTGCGTTGAACTCTAAGACAGAAATGAGATTCAGATGGGCATAGTTCAGACAGAATCTGAATACGATCCAGTAATGGAAATCATTGCAGTGCAGTGAGGAGAGACTAGACAGACAGGGCCTAGCTGCATTCCCCCAAGCCAGGCTGGTTCCCTTGCTGGCAATCAGAGTCTTAACTGAAACCTCAGTCAAAATTCTCTAACAACAAGGGTGGTTGTTGTGGAAATGAGATTGATTAAAAAGACAGACAAAGGAAGAAGAGATGATATCTCACATAGAACCTGGCACAAAGTAGGAACTGAATAAATAAGTCATCAATAAATAGATGAGTAGAAAGAGCAGTAATATTCGGTTAGAGGATGAGAGGGGAAAGAAGAGTTGAAACTTCTTAAAGAGCTTTAAAAATGAGGATGACTATCTTTTTTACTTTGTAGCTTTTTCTTTTATTATTTGAATGGTCATAGGCAAAAGGCAAACTTCTATTACTCAAAAGAGTTTCAATGAATTCATATATGAAGTGGGAAAAAATGTATGAACTTCATTTCCCCTTCTCCTGCCACCATTGTGATTACTGACAAAGCATTCATGTCCTAGTATCAAATTCTGTTGCCACCGCTGATCATAAAGAC